ACGCCGCTCATTGTCTGTGCAATGCAAGACCAGCCCTTGGGCGTCAGTGCAGAAGTGGGGGCAAGAATGCTCTCTTCCCCACTGTGGGCCTCACCATGTCACCTGCAGGCCCTGAGCTGCATCAAGTGTCTGTCTCCTTCCGCTGGAGTATCTCTCACAGAATCCTTCTTGAATAGATGTTATGGTCCCTCTCCTAGCAACTGTGTTTCATCACTTTCTGTCTCCAACTGGAGAAGCACAAATGAGGAAACACACCAACAACCACTTCACCTCGTGCACACCTCCACTGCTACNGTGGATTCAGCACTGACAGCTTCCCAAGGTTTTGTTGAGGCAGGAAATGAATCACGTACCAGGAGGTAGTGAGTGAGGCCAGCTCACCACTGGGCACATTTTTTACTTCATTGCCCTCTACTGCTCTTTGCTCAGCAACAACTTACGTTAAAGGGCCAAACAAGTCACTTAAATTTCCCATAATTTACCAGGTTTTAATATTGGGCTTTGACATGTCTTAGGACAGAGGCAATTTTTGTCAGATTCATTGCACATGTCATTCTCCCTCCACTTCATGTCCCGTCTACTCACCACCCTCCTTCCCACCATGGTGGACATCACTAATTGATTGATGGATTATGCCCTTTCCCATAGAGCCATACAAGCCCTGGAGAGCTTTATTAAGCCCTCCAGGCAGCAGGTTTACTAGATTAGAGTTGGTCCAACTGCGAGCCTAGTAAAACCTTCAGGGTCCAAACGGGAGAAAGAGTGAAGGGAATGCAGAGATGAATGGTACCCGGATTTGTGGAATTCCTGGATTACTGAAATTATAAAAGAAGGTTTGGGTCTCGAACAGAATTGCTACCTTTTTGCTTTTTATAGGAAAGACACAAAACCCTCCCCCAAGCCTATCAGACACAATCCCTATCTTTTAAAAAAGGGAGAATATTTTGATAACCCCAAAATAGCAAAGATATAATCTAAGAATAAAGAAGAATCCTTTATATCGAAAGACTTTAGCTTTATAAAAAGTTCAGTGCACTGTTTTCTTTTTCCAATTTTGCTGTGGACCATCAAAAACTTGGTCATGGACCTAAGTGCCATTTAGGGACCCCGTTATAAATTTGAGACTGCTAGAGTTTTTTTCTTTATATTTTGGGGAAGTCTTACAATGCAAAAATCTAATTCCTTTCATCCAGATGATACTGCTTCTTGGTGTTTTTGATGTGTACTTGGGTGAACATGTTATCTTATTACTTCTACACAATAGTGCTAGTTGGTTATTTTACAGAATAACAGAAAAGGTTTTCTAATACTTTGAGGATTAAATAAGGATATTTTCTCACGGTTACTCTCCTGTCCACTGTTGGTTCATTCATTCCAGTTATTTGTTGCCCATCGGCTATTATGTGCTGGGCAAAGGGGTGCAGTAATGAACTGGTCAGAATCTCTGCCTCCTTGGAGCTCACATTCCAGGGAAAACACGTGTAAACAAATACATAGTATAGATTCAGATTATAAGTACCATAAAGGAAATAAAACAGTATACTTGCAAAGAGAATGACTTAGAGGAGGAAACTGAGTGAAGGTATTGTAGTAAAGATGACTTTGGTGACATTTGAGCTGAGGACACAGGAAAGATCTAGGGGGAAACATTCTGAAAAGAGGGACCAGTAAGCGCAGAGGCCCTGGGATGGAGTGGGGTTGGTATGCATGCGACATGGAGAGAAGGCCGGTGTGACAGAGCGTAGAGGAGAGAGGAGAGGGGATGGAGATGAAGTAGGAAAGCAGGCTGGGATCAGACCCGTGGGGTTTCTAAGTCGTGGCGAGAGGTTTGGAGTTTATTCTTATTGCTGTGGGAAGCCATGGGAGGGTTTTCTGCAGGAGAGGAATTTGGTCTGAATTTTGCATTAAGATCGCTCTGAATATGTCAAGAATAAGATTGTATGGGGCAAACGAAAAGTCATTTGGGAGGCAAAGTCTGGTCACGATGGTGACCAGAACTAGGGTTTGCCAACACAGATGCTGATGAGATCTAGGATACATTGGGAAGTAGTGCCAACAGGATGTGTGTCTCCACTCAGCTCCTACCAGGGTGCCTGAAGATAGCAGATGCTCGATAAATATTTGTTAAAGGGAAGAACGAGAAAGTTAGTTGGTTTAGAAGGGAACAGGCTATACGGTCACCTTAGTTATGGGTGATATTTTTATTTCGCTTTTTTTCAAACTTCCTGAGTCATTGTATTTTAAATTTAAATAAAAATATGTAAAAAGAATTTTTTGCTTTAGGATATTTACTTTTCAGAGGTCAGAGAGCATTTTTTTGGGCTCTTTCACATAGTATGTAGGTCTCTCCCCTTGATGATGGGGAGAGACCATGTTGGTCTTCTTCAAGCTGGGAAGCCTTGAAGCTCTGGTCATTTTTTTTTTTTTTTACCCACTAGGTGCTCAGGAAGGAAGGAACTAGAATAGCACTTACACATTCCAAGGTGATTTTCCTGTGACTGATGAGATTAGGATCCCTGTAGGTTCAAAATGATCTAAGGGCTTCCTTAGATTACCTGACAGGCCCGTTCTTTTCCTTTCTCTAAGCAGTATTAGAGTTACGGATGAGTTCTGGGGACCTGCCTTCTAATTTTTTTCTACGAAAGTTTTCCTAATATAAACTTATATTTAACTGACTTGTATATAACCTCACAATAGTGACCCATAAAGATGTCAGTTTATTGGCTCACGCTTGAAGTGCTATGAAACAAAATTAGAGATTTTAAAAAAATGTCACATGTAATATTTTCAAACTAAAACGGTATCAAAAATAAATGCCAAGGGGTTAGGGTGCCGATGTTTATCTCCATGGACTATAAGGGGGCATTGTACCATCTAGTTAACAGTAAGACCTTGAGGAAATCAATTGTTCTTCTGCCTCTTAGCTTTTCCACCTTCAAATGCAAGAGAACTAAACACCTTGGTTTTGAGAAAACAGAGTTGCTTCTCCAACTATATACAACTTCGTGAAAGATGGAGGCACTTTAAATATCAAACAAGACTGACTTATGGCCCTGGACCAGGTAACAGGAAGCCACAGGCCTGACCCCATCTTTTCTCTGAAGTCTCACTTTGCACCAACCATCTCAGGCCACAGCAAACCACTTTGTCCCCAAACATGACTTGCACCTCTTGTCTCCCTGCATGTAATCATACTGTCCTCTCCACCTGGAACCCACCCTCTGCCATCTTACCTCCATCATTAAAGGCAATAGAGCGTAAGNCTATGTGCTTTGCAGGTTCAGTAGACATTCCTAGGTTAGTGGAGAAGTCACCTGGTTGGGCTCCTAACCTACTGTCTCCTGGGTCTCCTGGGTCCCTCTCTCTACCGCACAGCCTTGCCCCTCCCCCGCCTCCTCCTCACTTTCCCACGGGCTGAGTCTTTTCCCTCCATGACTGGATATTCCCAGTTCGTCTCTCAAACTTACAAACCCAAGGGTTCAAAGTATGGAACAGAACAAGGGGCTTTGTATGTAGGGAACTTCCACTCCTTAGAAGTTATAAACACTAACACTCAAAAAGAGTTTGTTATTACATGATAATTATCTTCCCCTTTCTTACTGACATAGCAGTTCTTATTGTAGAGTGACATTGGGAAGGGCTGGGAGAGGTGGCTGTTTCCGCAGCATCCCAGGTCACTGCCTGGGGGGTTGGGGGACAGTTAACCAGGCGGCATCCTGGGTTCTGGTGTCTCAGAGCAGGAGACATGGAGACTTTTAATGAGCTGTCTATGGGTGCCTGGACCCTGCGCATCTGGGCTGCTTCTGCCCAAATGCACATGAAAATCCCAGGAAATCAGTTTAGTGGTTTATAAGGAGGCACAGACTGGATGCTGATTTTTCTAGTCAGCTCATTTCCCTGACCGTTGGGAAGCCTTGACAAACTGTGACCTCTGTTTCGAGAACTTTGCCACACTGAGTCTGCAGATACCATGGGTCAGATGGGCTTGGATTACAGTCAGTACTTCAGGCAAATAGTCCAAGGAATAACTTTGGCCTTTTATCTACTTTAAAAAGCACTTTCCTTATGTCTTATTTTAGCCTTCTTGGGTCAAGGCCGGGCAGTGGACATCACTGGGTAAATGATTTGCTGCAAGGAAACGCCAAGCTGTGCATTTCACGTGCCTGGGCTGAGTTTCAGACCATATAGTTTTAAAATATTCTCCTCCCGTAAATATTGCAATCCCATCTGATAAAATAGATACTTGAAGAGAAAACTTCTTTTTTTTTAAGGGAACAAGTGCTCTGTGACCCTGAGGAAGAGACCTCAGCAGTTTTCCCCACAGGGGTCGTGGAGAAGTCTAGGACGGATAGTGGACAGTGATGGTAGCAGACAGCGAGCTCCAGGCACACGCCTCTCTATTTGTCCATGTGATCTTTACAGCAGATCCATGAAGTAGGCAGTTATCCCCTTTTTACAGATGAGGAAACTGAGGCACAGAGAGGTTAAATAACTTCCCTTGCAAAGGTCAGAATAAGAAATCACACCAGGCTGGCGTTAAACAACTTCACTGCCTCTTCCATTCAGTGTGTCCTTCCTGCTCCTTTTAGGGGGACACCCCTACTTAAAACTGAAAAATCCCCTGCTTGCCAAGTGCTTCATATGCAGACTGATGCCCCTTTGGGCAGGTTTGAACTTGACCTGTAGACTGTTCTCACAAATAACTGAAATGGCCTCCGCCACATCAGCTCTTTGCAACAGAAGGGATGGGCTTTGTGAAAGATTGTTATTTCCAGGGTGTTGCAACGCTTTTCCTTTTTGAGAGAGAATTTATCACTCAGTTTAGAAGAAGACCATTTAATGCTGACGTTTTGTCCCTGATTTGCATACCTGTATCCATGTCTTATCTCAGCCCCAAGCTGTTCTCGAAATGCTTGAAGACTGTTCCGGGTGGATGTCCTGCTTCACCTTGTTTCTTCCCAACTGAACTCATGTCCTGTGTCTCTTACTCCTAAAAACAGGCTCGTCTTTCCAACTTCCTCCTTCTGCCAGTGACACCACTCTTCTTCCAGTTACACGTCTAGTGAGTCATCCTTGACTCCCTTTTTACCATTGTGCTTTGTGTCCAAGTTTTTGTCATTTATATATATATTTAAATAGACTTGGTGTTTGTTTTTTTTAGAGCGGTTTTAGGTTCACAGCAAAATTGAGGGAAAGTACTATATACTGCCTGCCCCGCGCCCCCATTGTCAGCCTCAGCATCAGAGTGGTACCTACGTTATCACAATCAATGAACCTGTGTTGATGGACACATCATTGTCACACAGTCCACACTTTACATCAGGGTTCATTCCTGGTGTTGTGCACTCTATGGGTTTTGACAAATGTCTGACATGTTATCGTATCTCACAGAATAGTTTTGCTGCCCCCCGCCAAATCCTCTGTGCTCTGCTCCTCATTATTTTCACGTGTGCTTTGCCATCCCCCCCAACCCACTTTGAGTCCCTGATCTTTTCTGCTGGCTGGTGGTGCATTCCAGCAGCCCCCCGATGGAGCTCGCAGCCTGTCATTTCTCTCCCTGTCAATCTATCCTCCACCCTCCACACAGATGAGTCGTGGTCATGGTGTCAGGCTTCTACTTGCTGTATCCCTGCCTTCCAAAAGGATAGAAGTTCGTATTCCTCCGCTCACCCCATCCTAGAATGTCCATCGGAGCCTTTCTGGACTGAACCTCCTTGTGATAGTCTGCCAACACAGGCCCTCCCTTCTTGGGGGGGGGGCCAGACCCCTAGATGTCCTGAAAGTGATACCGCTTCTTAATCGGCCCAGGCTGGCCCCTTTCCTCTGCTTGTCCCAATGAAGCATCAAGGCCTCATCATATCCTCTCTCTTTCGTGAAGCCTCTCCCTCGGCGGCGTCCTTCTTCCTGTAGCCCTGTTATCAGTGTGGTTTCCTTTGGCACATAGCATGACCTTTGCATCACAAGTGAACGTTTCCTATCTCTGTCTGGGCAGCTTTAGGCCCTAGAGCTCAGGGGGAGTTACTTAACCATTACAAAACTAGCCCTCACCAGGACCAAACCTAGAACCATCACACAGCAGGCTGTCAGTGATTTCTTATTGAATTGTCCTTGTCATCTAGCTGGTCTTCATAGCTACTAACCCTAAAGAGGTCTGTCATGTGAATGCCCTACACTTCTCTCAGTATTACCTCCTTCCTGAGGATGAGAAAGTCATTTCCAGACCTTTGGCGTCCGTGTTCCCAGGTTCATGTACAGGCCGAGCTCAGCCCCCACCTCACACCCCGAAAGCTTTTGAGACATTAATAACTCAGTTTGACGGTTGATGGTCTCCACTAATTGCTATCTTTTAAGCATGTATTTCTAAGGAGGTAGCTTGGATGCCGTGTTAGATGTGGAGGTCCTGTGTGGTGATTACGAGGGAAGGCTTTCCTGAGTCCAGCTACCTGGGCTCGGATCCTAGCTCCTTCCCTGACTAGCTGCATGGCCTTGGGCTCTGCTTCCTTATTTGTAAAATTGGGGTAATAATACTTGGCTTGTGGGGCTATCTTGAGGCTTCGATGAGATACTTGATATTACAAGCGCCACACTGTGTCTGACACACAGTGAGCAATCAGTTATTTTTGGTTTGATTGTTATTTTTGATAATTAGTGGTGTAACTTTAACATTATAACCTAGTCTCATCCTCCACAGTGCAGTGCAGTTAGGTCAGGAAGGAAGATAGAAAATAACAGAGGCAGACATGTGCCTTCAAGACGTCCCACTCTGGGTTCTTGCTGGGTAAAAGCTTTCTTTACTCCCAAGGTAAGCAGCCAGCCACGAGTGGGAGGAGGTGGGCTGGTAAAAGAAGCAAAGTGTTGTTCTGATGCCCACCCTCCCAGCCTACATGGTTGGGCTGTGAAGAAACTCGACG